CTGCTATTACCGTATTTTTATATTTTTTTGGACCTTAAAGTGCATTAAGCAAAACAACGCAGTCAGACTCATTCGTCTTGCTTCCTCCACTTCTGTACCACTGATTCATTAATGCTGTATTCTCTCACAGCTGCTCTATTCCCATGTTGTTGCAGTATATTAATGACTAACCTCGTATTGTGGATGGATTATCTCAGTTGTTCTCCTGACTGAAGTTTGGTCCGTTTACAGCATCCTGCCATGCGATTGCATTTGTCTCTAACCATCAGGAACCTTCACGTTAACTATTATCGAGTGGAAGAAAGTTGGCGTTCATCCTGCAGCTTCACTGTGTTTATGCTAACATAGCTGTGTCGCTAGCGATCATGTAGCACATCATTATATAGCAGCTAGCCCAACTTCAGTAACCCTACAAACGTCACTGCTGTTAAGTTTGTCTTCATTTATGTTGGAAGTGATAGCAGAGCTGTACGTTTTTATTTTTTCATAAATCTCTCAGTCAGAACATGCTATATCATATTTAGCTAACTAGCGAAACTAGCGAGCTAACATCCGCTAGCTTCCTGCTAACTGCTAGCCCAAGGACCCAGGACCCAGATCACTCCGTGAGGCTCCAGACTACGGCAGCCGCAATGCTCCAACAATCCATCAAGTAGCTTCCAAAGTCGTACTAAAACATTTTTTGATAGATGTTTGAGCGCCGTGTAGCACATAAAATCGGTTCAAGGTCAGTAAGCACAACCAGAATTCATACATAAGGCGCACTGTTGATTTTTGAGAAAATAAAGGATTTGAAGTGCACTTATAGTGCAGATAGTACGGTAATAAAAATCCATGTTTCACTCACTGAAGGAAAAACTGCAGTTTTTATCCCATAAATGATGTTCACTCATTATTAGATGTGTTTAATTACTATTTATAAGTTACTGAGTCACAATAATAATTCAGCATCACTATGTTAATGTAAAAGCTGACAGCGCAGAGTTATGAAATGTGTGACAGAAACTTTGTGAGGTTTTTCTGTGTCATCACTGATGATTTTGGATCTTTGGACACTTTTCTCCCCCAGGAAACAGCCGAAGGTGTTATTAAGTTATCATTAGTTCATAATAACAGCAAACATGCAGCTTTAATTGTCGGTTAAAAGACGATCGAGTCGCTGACGTATAAATGGGTTTTTTGTTTTAAGGCAGGGGTGGGGAGCTCCAGGGCCGGTGTCCTGCAGGTTTCAGATATCACCCTGAATTAAACGAGTTCATTAACAGGCCTCTTGAGAACACATGTAAATCATTTGTGTGGATCAAGGACACGTTTAAAACACATCGACCCTCGAGGCCTGGCGTTGGACACCCCTGATTTAAGGCGCCAGTAATTATGATGTTTGTTAAATGAAATGATTTTGTAATTTTCTGTTTATCTGAGGATTTAATTCATGTGTTT